TCATTAATCCCTCTAGATTTTTAAAATGACTCTAAATGACCTCAAATTAACATATGTTATGAATCATGCCATGGTCATGTTATTTATCAAGTCTAAAGTGAATTACATTCAAGTTACAATTAATCATTTATTTCTCATTTTAATATAAGACAAACATATAACTTAGATATCACTATAGGAACAAATAAAATCACTTGGAAGATAAATGATAACACCCCCTACCTCACAAGAGGATTGTTCCTCTTGAATCCAAGGCAACCAAGCTTAAAAATGAAAAACCAAACAAGGGTTTTGTAGAGGGGAGTGGGAGGAACTTAAAGTATTCCAAGTTCAAAGTTCTAAGGTGAGTGAAAGGGCACCAAAAATGAAGTCAAAGCTACTAGTCAAGCTTTTCTCCAATGGTGGCTTCCTTAGGGTTCTTGAGAGGAAAGTGATGAATGAATTAAAATGTGTAAACCCTAAGCTAATTTGGTGGGCTTCTCCACTCACTAGGTGCTCTTGCACTACCTCTCACACACACACTAATGCAAGACTAAAGGTGAGTCCTACACTTGTCATGAATTCAAGTAAGCTTCCAAGATTAAATATTAACCCTACACTTGTCAACCATCCATGCCAACAAGTGCACCAATCCTAGGACAACAAGTGGGTGAATCTCCACCCTCCATGTGTCATGAGATTAAGCCTCCAAGTGGTTTCACCACAAAATCAACAAGTGGCACCATAGGATTGTGACACTTGTCGTATTTTTTAGAAATTGCAAAAAGGTCCTTTTTGAAAATATCTTCCAAATTAATTTGTAAAATGGTCCCTAAGACGAAAAATAATTACTTTACTTAATTACCCAAAAACCCCTCAAATTATAGATAATTATAAAAAGTCTTGTTTTCATGACTTTTACAAAGAAAGTAAGCATTTAATATGCATTTCTTCAAAAGTAAAAATGTAGATGTCATGGAATTTAAATATCATAGACGTATGCAAAATCAAAATCAAATCCAAGCACAAAAAATGAGGTTATGCAAGTAAAAGTGAAAAATGAGAAGAGGACGAAATAAGAAAAAGACGAAAAAAGATAATTTTCGAAAAAAGAAAGGACGTAAAATGACAGGGTCATTACAACCTACCATCCTTAAAGGGATTTCGTCCCCGAAATCAAACCATACCTGAAAGAGAGAACAAATGGGGATACCGAGAGCGAACCTTCTGTTCGAGCTCCCAGGTAGCCTCCTCAATGCCATGGTGTTTCCATAAGACCTTGACCAATGGGATGGTTTTGGTCCGCAAGACCTACTCCCTTGAATCAAGAATCTGGACCGGACCTTCCTCGTAGGTCACGTCCTTATCAATAACCACATCAGTCCACCGCAGAACATACGATGGGTTCGGCTCGTACTTCCTCAACATAGAGACATGGAAGACGTCGTGAACCCTATCTAGGTCTGGCGGCAATGCCAACCGATAAGCAACTTCGCCGATGCACTCTAAAATCTCAAATGGTCCGATGAACCTAGGAGACAACTTACCAGTTTGTCAAAATCTCAGGAGCCCCTTACGCGGAGAAATCTTAAGAAAGACATGGTCCCCTACCTTAAAAGACAATGATCGCCTCCTCCTGTCAGCGTAACTCTTCTGTCTACTCTGTGCGGTAGCCAACCGCTGCCGAATCAACTTGATCTTCTCTGTAGTCTCAATAACAATGTCGGGACCCAAGGCAACAGTATCACCGACCTCGGTCTAACAAACTGGAGATCTGCAAGGTCTGCCATACAACGCCTCAAAAGGTGCCATGCCAATACTGGCCTGGTAACTGTTGTTGTAGGCAAACTGAACTAAAGGCAAGTAGTCCTCCCAACTACCACTGAAATCCAAGATACAAGCCCGTAACATATCCTCCAATACCTGAATGGTGCGTTCTGACTATCTATCAGTCTGAGGATGGAATGTCGTGCTAAAATGAAGCCCCGTGTCAAGAGCCTCTTGAAAACTCTGCCAAAAGTGAGAGGTGAACCGCGGATCCTTATCCGAAACAGTGGATACAGGAACCCCGTGAAGCTTGACAATCTATCTCACATATAGTCCACTCAGTCTCTCTGCACTATCTTTCATTGCCATGGGTAAGAAGTGAACCATCTTAGTTAACCTGTCAACTATGACCCAAACGGCATCATTCCCTGCTTGAGACCTCGGAAGTCCCGTCACGAAATCCATAGTGATATGCTCCCATTTCCACTCAGCTACTAGTAATGGTTGCAACAATTCTGCCGTTCGCTGATGCTCTGCCTTCACTTGTTGACAAGTAAGGCATCGAGCCACGAATTATGAAACATCCCGTGTCATGCCCTGCCACCAAAATTGTCGTCGCAGATTGTGATACATCTTTGTACCACCAGGATGAACTGCGAGCCTAGAGTGGTGGAAATCCCGAAGAACGTCCTCACGACAAGACAATGGAACAAACATCATCCCCTTATACCTGAGACCACCGTCTGAATGTAAGGTCCAACCCTCTACATTCTCGCCGCCTGAAATCCGAACATGGATGGCCTTCATCTCCCTATCCTTCAACTGTGCCTCAATAACTCTGCTAACAAATGCCGGTTGAGCCACAAAGCTAAACAAAATAGTCGGTGAAACATCCTCATAACACTGTAAACCAAGATCTACAAGCTCTTCTAGCATCTTCTATCTGTGAATGGAAATGCTAGCAAGAGTTCCCCGTGACTTCCTACTCAATGCATCGGCCACCACATTGGCCTTACCCGGGTGATACTGTAATTCAAAATCGTAATCCTCCATGAACTTAACCCATCTGCGCCGTCTCAAGTTCAAATCCTTCTGAGAGAAAAGATACTTGAGACTCTTGTGGTCGGAGAAAACTTCAAACTTCTCCCCGTACAAATAGTGTCTCCACCTCTTCAGGGCAAAGATAACTGCTGCTAACTCCAAGTCATGTGTTGGATAGTTCAACTCGTGAGTCTTTAACTGTCGAGACCCATAAGCAATCACCCACTCTGTCTACATCAAGATACAACCCAAACCTTCTCGTGAAGCATCACAAAAGATCACATAACCTAAACTACGTTCAAGAATGATCAAAACTGGAGCCGATGTCAACCTGACCTTCAACTCCTGAAAAGCAAATTCACATGCCTCGTTCCATATGAACTTGACCCCCTTGCGGGTAAGTCGAGTCATAGGTGCTACTAAACGAGAGAAATCCCGAACAAATCTCCGGTAATAGCCGGCAAGGCCATGAAAACTCCGAATCTCAAACACTATCTTCGGACTCTCCCAATCCATCACTGACTCAATCTTCGTTGGATCCATTGCAATTGACACAACATGTCCAAGGAACTTCACTTCTGGTAGCCAAAATTCGCATTTCTCGAATTTGGCGTATAACCGATTATCCCTAAGGATCTGCAACACTGTCCTCAAATGATACTCATGCTCCTCCACTGAAGCTGAGTATACAAGAATGTCATCAACAAAGACTACAACGAACTGATCAAAATGGTCACTAAATACACTGTTCATTAAGTCCATAAAAGCTGTTGGAGCATTTGTCAAACCGAATGGCATCACTAGAAACTTATAATGGTCATACCGTGTGCGGAAAGTGGTCTTGGATACATCCTTATCCTTAACCCTCAACTGATAGTAACCCGATCTCAGATCAATCTTTGAAAAGCATGTCGCTCCCTTCAACTGATCAAACAAGTCATCAATCCCAGGCAAAGGATACCTGTTCTTGATTGTGACATGGTTTAGCTTGCGATAATCGATGCAAAGTCTCAAAGACCCATCTTTCTTCTTCGCAAAAAGAACCGGTGCTCCCTAGGGTGAAACATTAGGACGTATAAAACCCTTAGCTTTCAAATCCTCCAATTGAGCCTTCAGCTCATCAAGCTCTGCCGGTGCCATACGGTATGGTGCCATAGAAATAGGTGTAGTACCGGGAATGACATTGATGGCAAAGACAACCTCCCGAAGAGGAGGGAGTTCTGTCAACTCCTTCGGGAAGACATCCAGAAACTCGTCTACAACTGTTGGAAAAGCGCGGCCTAGACTGCTACCCTCGTCAACTAATAGGCTAGCCAAGTAGGACCTGTGGTAACTTCAATCACCGATACTGAAAATCATCGTCGGGTGGGAATCGCTCCGATCTCTAACGAAGTGAAAACAATCCCCCGCGGGAGTGTAAACAGACACTCACCCATGGAAGCAATCGATCGTGGCATGAAAGAAGGACAACCAATCTATCCCGAGAATGACGTCAAAGCCCGTCATGTCGAGAACAATGAAATCAAACTCCAATGTCTGTCCAGCTATCTCGATAGCACAACCCCGACAAACACGGTCCAAAAACACTGGATCACCAATTGGTGTGTCAACACAAAGGAAACCATCCCGTTGCGTGACCTCCAGACCCAAAGAATGTGCAAATGATGCAGATATGAATGAATGTGATGCACCTGTGTCAACAAGAACTTTAGCCCAATAACTGAAAACTGGAAAGATACCTCGAACTGTAGAAGTCCCTGCGGAGGTATCAGCCTGTGGCAGTACGTAAACTCGTCCCTGAGCCCCCGACTGCTGTGAACTACCCTGCTGAGCTGACTGATGTCCGGAAGCAGTAGGTGTAGGGTTCCTACCCGGATATGAACTGACTGGTGCAACTGGCTGTGGTGCTTGAGGCACCCTGAAACCTGACTATGCAATTGTCGACTATGCCGGTGTGGCCTGTGGCCTGCGCCACTCTGTGCCCTATTTTGTAAGCGCGGACACTCCCTCTTGAAATGTCCAGGCTGCTTGCAGTAATTGCAAACCCCCTGAAGTCCCTACGTCAAAGCTGAAGACTTACTAGTCTGAGAACGCCTGCCCTGAGACTGCAACTGTGGGCAATGAGGCTTGATGTGCCTCGGCTGCTGACAGTGGTGACAAATGACTCCCCGGGCTGACCCCGAAGATACTGGACCTGCAGATGTAGACTGAGCCTACTGTGACTGTTCCTGAGTGCGTGAATTGTCCCCGGCCTTAGCCTTCTTCCACTGACCCCCAATGGATACTGATGAAGCCTCTTCACGTGGCTGCTTATATGAACCCTTGATCCTAAGCTGATCTCGGTCCTCTGCCTCAACTAACATAGCCTTCTGTACTACCTCCCCATAAGTCTTCAGATCCAACACTGAAATCCGTGGCCTAATATCAAGATGTAACCCATCCTGAAACTTTTTCGCCCTGAGCTCATCGGTGGCTACCATCTCCGGTGCATAGCGGGAAAGAAAAGTGAAGCGTGTCTCATGCTCAATGACACTCATCCTGCCCTGATAGAGACCTATAAACTGCACTCTCATATCATGCCTCATAGCCCTTGGAAAGAAGCGATCAAAGAACAATGTCCTGAACTCCTCCCAAGTCATCATCTCCATATCGTAGATATTAGTCATAGACCTCCACTAGATATCGGCTTCTCCCATGAACATAGAGGTTGTCAAGGAGATCCTCAATCGGTCTGTAGGTACTGTCATGCTATCGAGCTTGCGTACCATGAGATCAAACCATGCCTCTGAGGCAAGCGGATCCATACTCCCTGCAAACTGGTCGATCTTAACCCTCTGTAACTTCATGAAGTAATCTAATGCCTCATTAACAACTGTATCCCCGCCATTTGCTGGTGAAACATCGCCTGAATAGACTCTGACATCCCCAGAGCCACTCCCTGTGCAATCTGCTCCTTGTAAGTTGGAGCTCATGGTGCATTTGGACCCGTGCCATGAACTGGAATCCTAGGCCTCCCTGGACCCCTCGTAAACTCGGTGTCATCCACCTGCTCCTCAACACCCTGACTCGAAGACTCCCTACATGTGACAACCATGATGCTAAGCATATGCAATAAAAGAGGTCAATAATAACACAAGTTATTATGACCAAATGTAACTCGTACAATGAAAGTAAGAGATACGAAGCAAGATGAGGTATGTAACATATGGTCATGATAAAGCAATCAAGGAAGGCTGTTTAAACAGTTAAGCACTTAAGCAATATGTCAAACAAGTATGCTTTTTAAACATATAAGCATACAAACATAGAGACATATCATAATAACAAGTATGTCACCAAGAAATATGTAATCATGTTATAATGCCAAAAACATGTTATCAAAGGTATGCTAATAAATCAAAGTACACTAAGAAAAGCATGTTATGCACCCAAAACCCGTCGTTCTAAGGTTTTCGAACCTAGGGGCTCTGATACCACTTGTGACGGCCCAAGTTTTTCAACCTGGTGCGTCAGTGATGAACCGAAAGATGACCGATAACGGATCCAAAATGCGGAAGCAAAAGACAAAACAACGGTCTCTAGAGATACTGCATGGCTCTAAGACACCACTATGACCCTCAACGAGGTCACGAACCTAAAGGAATCAAATGCGGAAGCAACGTTTCAAAAACGAATAAGAATGAAACTAGGGGCAAAATCATCATTTTCAGCTTAAAACTAGGTGCCACCGAGTACACCATTTGAAAGACAACGAAAAATTAATGAATTTAGACTCAAGAATCACTTGATTCGGAGTCCGGATGAAGACGATATGGCTAACGGAAGAAGAAGGGGCAAAACGGTCCAAAAGAGGCAACCCATGAACATCTAACCGGTTAGGAGACCTTCCTAACCGGTTAGGAGGCCAAAATTTACAAGAAATACACTGCCCACACTCATCTAACCGGTTACGAAACCCCTCATAACCGTTTAGATGTGAAGGCGGCAGAATGGGTAGCAAGAAACCCTGGCAGTAGGGGTTTTTCTGGGAAAAATGGAAATTTGAGGGTCAAGCTGACATTTTCTGGAAAAACTCAAAGAAGAAACCCCCCTCAAAATCCAGATTTCTACATGACTCATGAGAAAAATCGAAAAATACACAATGTGAAATACCCAAAATGCCCTCCCAAGAAAACTGGTCCAGAGGGTCCAAAAAGCTGCTAAATTTAAAAACTGAGAGCTGAACTTCGGATGTGATTTCCGATGCCAAGATGGCATTTTCTGGAAAAACACGAAGAAGAAACCCACTCTAAAATCACATTTTCTAAGTGACCATGTGAAGAATGGAATTAATTTGTCAAGGTAAAATTCCTAAAATGCCCTCACATTAGATTTGCAATTTAAAATGTCAAAAAGTGTCCAAAGGAAGTTCATTTCATGAAATGGTGTGAATTTTGCCCAAGTGAGCATGTACGCAAATGTATTATGATGAAATAGACATGCTACAATGGCCTACAGCCTCATGGGACGTCATATGCAAAATATAACCCTTTAATGGATGAAATCCCTCAAGTTTCACATACAAACTATAAAGATAAAGTAGCATACATGACATATATGTGTCCTTGGCCATTGGTCTCTTTACATACATATTCTAAGAGTGTCAAAAGGTGCACTTAAGTGCACATTACGTAACTTAGACAATAAGTACAAGTTTTATCAAAGTAAGCAAAGTAGGACAAGATATGCTAACATATGCATATTCTATGTCATCAAAAATACTTCAAGAACTCTAGTAAGTCTAAGAATGCTGTGCATCCCACACTAAGGCTTCTTTACCTGCAAAACACCCATTAACTTAGGGGTGAGTAACCAAGTTTACTCGTAGGGAATGCATGGGTTTATCTTTGTACCAAGTTACAATCCAATACAATTTAATTCATGCTATCAAGTGACAATAGAACTTTCAACATAACACAATGAGATGTAATTTCACAAAGTTAACAACATGGAATTTAAATGCGAAATCAAACCAAAGTGGATACTTGGACGTCATGCCGGATCAAACCGACAATGTGATTACTTTAGGGTTACTAGCCCATGGGTAACCTCCCTATGTGCGCACTAGACTTGTAGAGGGACTTTCCCCCGTACTAGATTCATGCCCTAGCCATAGTCATAACAATGACATTCCCAAGTTTCCAAAATCAACATTTTGTGCACATTACATATATGTATCAACATAACATATATATATACAATGTAAAGCCATCAACATGCACAAACTAATTTTGGAAACACAATACATGCCCTAAGTTCTCAACTAAAATGGCATGAAGAATATTGAATAATCATTATGCAATTTGCCACTAATTACAACAATATCATTCAACAACAAGAACATAACCTCACAAGTATGATATAAGTTTAAAATCATAATTTGAACAATTAAATAAAACAACTAAATTCCCTAGATTTCACTTCTCATCTAAACATGCCCAATTTAATATATGTTGTAGTACATGTCATGGTTATTATATAAATCACTTCAAAACTTGATTTAAGTCATATGAGCATATAAATAAAAATTAATTAAATTAATTCATTAATCCTTCTAGATTTTTAAAACGACTCTAAATGACCTCAAATTAACATATGTTATGAATCAAGCCATGGTCATGTTATTTATCAAGTCTAAAGTGAATTACATTCAAGTTATAATTAATCATTTATTTCTCATTTTAATATAAGACAAACACATAACTTAGATATCACTATAGGAATAAATAAAATCTCTTGGAAGATAATTGATAACACCCCCTACCTCACAAGAGGATTGTTCCTCTTGAATCCAAGGCAACCAAGCTTAAAAATGAAAAACCAAACAAGGGTTTTGTAGAGGGGAGTGGGAGGAATCTAAAGTATTCTAAGTTCAAAGTTTTAAGGTGAGTGAAAGGGCACCAAAAATAAAGTTAAAGCTACTAGTCAAGCTTTTCTCCAATAGTGGCTTCCTTAGGGTTCTTGAGAAGAAAATGATGAATGAATTAAAATGTGTAAACCCTAAGCTAATTTGGTGGGCTTCTCCACTCACTAGGTGCTCTTGTACTACCTCTCGCACACACACGAATGCAAGACAAAAGGTGAGTCCTACACTTGTCATGAATCCAAGTAAGCTTCCAAGATTAAATATTAACCCTACACTTGTCAACCATCCATGCCAACAAGTGCACCAATCCTAGGACAACAAGTGGGTGAATCTCCACCCTCCATGTGTCATGAGATTAAGCCTCCAAGTGGTTTCACCACAAAATCAACAAGTGGCAACATAGGAATGTGACACTTGTCACATTTTTCAGAAATTACAAAAAGGTCATTTTCGAAAATATCTTCCAAATTAATTTACAAAATGGTCCCTAAGACGAAAAATAATTACTTTACTTAATTACCCCAAAACCCCTCAAGTTATAGATAATTACAAAAAGTCTTGTTTTCATGACTTTTACAAAGAAAGTAAGCATTTAATATGCATTTCTTCAATAGTAAAAATGTAGATGTCATGGAATTTAAATATCATGGACGTATGCAAAACCAGAATCAAATTCAAGCACAAAAAATGAGGTTATGCAAGTGAAAGTGAAAAACGAGAAGAGGACGAAATAAGGAAAAGACGAAAAAAGATAATTTCTGAAAAAAGAAAGGACGTAAAATGACAAGGTCATTACAATTGATGTGATACCCCCAGATTTTCGAATGTGAGTTGGCCAGGCCCATGCCCGAATACCCGAGGATATCAAAAACAAAATTGGCAATAAACGAACACAGAGTACAAAAGAATAAAGAAGAATAAATAAAATGCTGACAAGAAACTAAAATGATAATCTAATAATAAACCTCAAAATATATTTCCATTAATTAATAAACTCTTCTGATGCAACTGATCCTCCAAAATATAACTCGGGAATCCTTACTGTGTGGATCCCTAGAAAATCCAAACTAAACAAATGACAACAATAACTGTCTAAATCAGGAAACTGAATCATAAAGAAACTCCTATGTAGCATTGGAAGAATGAAGTAGACTGATCCCCGCTCAGCACGAACAACCTTTACTCCTGACGAACACCTGAAAAATAATGGTGGGTCAGGCCCATAAACAAGTTCTATTCTACTACAGTCCAAGCAGAGATCCGATACACGTATTCATCCTAGTCAATCCAACAGTAACTAGTAGTCCGTATATATATATATACACACTAAAGGAACCTCACTAGACTATAGGGTTGTCTCAACCTGAATAGTAGGCAACATGCAAAACGCACATATAGTGGGCATGAGTACCTAGACCTACCAGGGTACACAACTACACTATATCTAGCTACACATCCCTGGCGATATATGCACCTAACCAATGATCCTGAGACTCAAGCTCATATCATGGCACCATACTTATATATACAAAATCTAGTAACCATCCTATTCAGTATAAATTAATCCTCTATAAGTCATTCAACTTGTTCAGCTGACCTGACTTGAATATAAGTAGGACTTAACATTTTAGTTAATCCATTCCCTTATATAATAAATTAATCCTCCATAAGTCATTCAACTTGTTTAGCTGACCTGACTTGAATATAAGTAGGACTTAACATTTTAGTTAATCCATTCCCTTA